GTAAATTGTCACCATTTTATATTTTCAATTTTGCGCATGCCTATTGTTTGTTTTTGATTTTGTCGACTGCACAATACGAAAATTTCAGAGTGTTTATGTGTCAATCTGAGGACAGTGCAGAGAAGTTGGAAAGAATTGGATGAGTCTAATGGCGACTACGAAGATACCGCAGCTTAGAAAATTCACTCTGATCGTTCGAACTCCCGATTTTTTTGGTGGGGGTCTCTCACTCAACATGCGGGCCTACATCAAGTGTCTTGAAGAGTTATTGCTGGCTTGAGTCAATAGGGTGGTGACTGGTGTCTGACAACAATACCACACAAGCAGGAGAACTCAGTCATGGCTGTCAGACAATTTCTTCAACTACATCACCCTTACATTTGATCACATAACTTCCCAGGCTGCACCCACCTTTATTATCATGTGTGGTATGCAGTTTAGTGAAAGACCAACAAAACTCCTTATAACACCAAAAATGAACTAAAAAGGCAAGTCTTATGTTAGCATTCACAAACTTAAACAATGAGACCACCCAGAAGAGATACAAGAGGTTTCACTATTGACTGGGGGTCGTGTTGAACCCAATGGCAGTTTTATTGAATAAATTTATTTTTTAGTATATTTCAAGTGTAATTTTGGCATTCTCAATCTTCTACTGGTATCTCAAAACAGATGAGTACATACCGGTTGTAAATTAGATTTCGTCGACAAAATCCAATTCCGGCCGATGAGAACGATACAGCATGTGTTTGCTGGAAAAAAGATTCATCCTCAAAAATATTCATAATTTAAACCTGCTTAATAAATGAAATGAGTTCATACTAGGAAAAAGTTTCTCTTAAAATATTCTAATTCTGCCCGACTGCGATTAAGTCAACCCATTCTACAGGAACAGTCTTCCCAAGAATATACCAAAACTAACTGTAAATATTGTGTACCTTTTCCTTGTTTCAATACATTTTGTTTACGTACATTTTGTGTTGTATTATTATTATTCCAAGCTTATCCAAGCTTCAACAATGGCGACGAGGATAAAGAACTTTACGAAAAAAAAAAAAGAATTGATAATTGATAATAACTTAAAGCATTCTTCTTTTAAACTTCTTTTTAATTTTTAAAAAATGGCCCCTGACCTACACCCCATATTCCGTATTTACACCCCCAATATTATATTTGATTTATTTTAAATTTGAGCAGTGAATTTGCGTCTAATTTAGGGTTCTACCCATAAGACCAAGTATATTATTTTTTTTTTTAATCATATGTTATTTATCGTGCCTGACGAGTTGGTAAACAACGAAACTTAAGTCGCATCCCTAACGTAGGTATATGTATATTTATTAATATATATTTCTTGGCTCTGTCTAACCACATGGAACATTAGGTTTACACCTTAAAGTAAATTTGGTAAATATACAGTTGCTAATATCTAGTTATTTGATTTACCTCCTATATATATATATATATATATATATATATATATATATATATATATATATATATATATATGAAACTGACATTCCTGCAACCACAATTTTTTATCATGATTACACCGTCAGGCAGCAATGCAGGGTGTTTCGTCTCAAAATTTTTATTTATAACTATACTGGAATCGACAGCAGAAGGAGGAGAAAGAAAAGGGTCAGGATGTAAAAGAGATACCGAGGCAAAAGCTGAATAGAAACGGGGCGCCTCTCCTATCCGAGACCATAACACGCGAATAAAAATCTCACGTGTTTCCAGGCTGCTATTACTTCTAATCTTTCATTAATTAATTTGATTCGATCAGCATATTATATATATATATATATATATATATATATATATATATATATATACAGTGACACGCATAAGTATTGAATACATGTTATTTTCTGTTATAACTCTAGTTTATGTTCGCCATTTTGCCTGATATTTGGTAAGTAATATATCGTAAAGTTGTTTTTAGTTGTATGTGGAAGGAAAATTAAAAACTCATGGTTGAATCCATTTTTTTATCAAAGATACGAGATATTACTTGCTTTTTTTCTTTCTTCCCTCGAAACGCTGCACTGTAGAATCGTCTCCCAAGTGGATGCTACCCCGATCACTGCAATCTTAATCAATGTAAAAAGTCATTGCAAATAATAGTAAATATAATGGTTGTAACAGCAAAATTGTCCAAATTGTGTAACAGCCCATCCCATAAAATATTTAATATTTAAATATCACAAAACTGAGTTCCTTTTTTCCAGGTTTTTATATAAGACGTTTAGCCATCTCGACATTTGTCCTAAAAATCACTGAAAAATCCTTTGAGGTATTCAGCTAGAAAGAGAAAAGTTTAAAATCGTTTTGTGTCAGTCTCTCTGTCTTCCCAAACGAGCAGTGGGTTGAGAGGAAAAGATCATTCAGGACTTTAGTAATGGTACCAACATTCATACTCTGGCTTCCATCTACAAAGTCTATTCAAGGACCACCAAGAGAACTGTAAATAAGTTTTCAGAGCGAGCAGTGGAGAGGAAAACTAGATCAGGAGTTCAAAACAAGAAGAGGTATCCTCATTTCAACTTAGGGCTAAAGAGCTCAATTACAAAAGATCCAACTCAATTAATATGATGTTTGGCACGTAAGAGAGGAGTTTCAGTTATGACAGTTCAAAGAGCAGTGAAAAAAGATTGAAAATGAAATCGTAAGTGAAACCTGTCAGACACCTTGTTAATCCAGGACAGAAAGGTAGAAGCTTAGAGAGGGGGAAGATCATCTTGAATAGGTTGGAAAATGATCTTTGAATAACACACACACACACACATATATATATATATATATATATATATATATATATATATATATATAAATTTTATTTCATACCTTCATGATCTTCCGATTTTTAGCTATGCTTAATTAATAATGAAGACGGCATTTTCCTTGATGATCGATTTCTTCAACTTTCTTCTCTCAAACTTGGAAAATAATTATACATTCTTATTGCTCAAAGTAGAGTTCAGTAGTTTTATAAACGCTCGTAGAATTCCAGTAAGATAATTTTAATCATTTCTAAGATATAACGGTTCGAATCGTAATCTAAAAAATGGATATATTTTTTTTTACACGATTTGTACAATTTTGCTTTTACACCGGGTATATTTGAATAAAATGCAATTTGTTTTATTTTCTTAAGAAAAAAGAGATAAACAAAAAACGGGAATTATTTATTAGTCAAGTTAATAGTAATGTTTTATAATATTATATAAATTTCTCATTACTATAAATATATTTAGTGGATACACGTGATTTTGTAAACATCACTGTGGTATTGTCTACGGGACTGAGTTTTCAGAGAGTTTTATAATAAAGAAATTCGCTCCTTCATAAGGCCAATTGAGTCCTACTTCGCGGTGATGTCCTTCATGTCAGAGCGGTCTAAAAGAACGTCGCCTATACGGTTGGTTCCCTTATGTTACGGGAGGTGTAATTTATTTAACGCCTTCCTTTGAATGTATGGCAGCGAGAGATGGAAAAAGACGTCTTAAGTGTTTTGGATGGTGAGGCGGCGATTAAGTCAGGATACACGCCAGTAAGAACTGTGGTTTGCATCATTTTCTCCGAAGGTTAGACGTCGAATGATTTTCTAGGTTTAGCCAAGCACTCTCTAGATCCTACCCGGCAACAAGCCTGGAGAAGTCAGAAGTCACTTGAAGAGACAACAACAAAAATATGAATTTGTGGAAGGCCGAAACTTCGGTCACATTCCCATCAACCTGACGTGGCTTCCCTCCGTCTTTTCCACAAATATTTCCATGGCAACTGTTCTGATGAGTTTTTCCCTTGGTTTCCTGACTACATGAATTTAAACGTGCTACTAGATCGGCAACTAAATCTCACCGTCCTAATTCATCCTAATTAATTTCTTTTTTCGCACTTCCCAACTGTGGAAGTCCCTTTCCAATTTCTTACTTATATGATAACTTCTTTTTTTATGTACCGTGTCTACTCGGCACATAGGCGATCATGGCTCTTCACAACTTCCTGTATCTTATAGTTCTTAATAAACTTTATCTTTCTGTTATTTCTCCTAAGCCCTATTCTGCCATCCATTTAGTAAATCTCACTAGGCTCTTCGTTGTTTTCCTCTGTTTTGCTTGCGCTCTGTATGTACTCTGATTATCATATTTTACAAGCATTCATTCTTCATGATGTGCCCCAGAAACCTCAAGTGTTTTTTTTTTCCTGAAGTTAAGTATTATTTTCCTTTTTATTTCCATTTTCTTTAAATCTTCATCGTTGCTCACATGTTCGGTCCATGATATCTTCAGCTTCCTACTTCAGAAACATATTTCTGTTGCTTCATATCTTTTCTTCGTCTTTGATGAGACCTTACAGCTCTCCCTGCCACACAGAAGGACAGATTATACGTAACAGTTCTGTACACTTTTCCTTAATTCGAGCAAAACATTTTATGTCCCATATTAGTATGCTTAGCTTTTGGAATGCTTCCTTGGCTATCCCAATACGCCTTCGGATTTCAGTGTCACAATTTCCCTCCTTTGTAACTACAATCTTCTTTAAATGCAAAGTCGATCGTCATCTCCTGTCTATTGAGCACTGTTCCTTTTTTGTCATTTCCTCCATCTTCCATATTCTCAGACATTTCATTCTCTTTCTCTCGCTGTAAACCGCTGCGTTTTTTTATGGCATGATAGCCTTGCTTGGTCGGGGAGGGGTGAAACATTTAACACAGAATCTGAAGGGAAAGAAAAATATTGAACCTGAATAAATAAATGCGCATACATTTCTAGGAAACACTGTGTACGTTGATATACATTTGTAAATCTATAACATTTTATCACTTCTTTTATATATATATATATATATATATATATATATATTTGTGTGTGTGTGTGTTTATCTCCGCGCATCATTCAGCCATCTTAATTACTATTCCTATTCGTTCTCGCTTATCGCCGTAAATGCAAATACTGCTATTTCGGCAAATTACCGGCGGCAAAGTGAATCAGACGATGATGGTAGTGACCGACCTCCAAAGTTTAATTGCTGCTGGGGGTAGTTTTATCATCTTACCAGAACCTTCAACCCACCTCTCACTCTCTCTCTCTCACACTCTCTCTCTCTCTCTCTCTCTCTCTCTCTCTCTCTCTCTCTCTCTCTCTCTTTCTTTCTCTCGCTGTGTTAATATATATTACTCCTTTCTCTCAGTCGTCCCCTCTCTCTATATCTCTGTCCCATCTCGCTCTCTCTGTTTTTATATACATATGACTTTCCTCTCCCTCTTCCTCTCTTTTCCTCTCACACGGTGTTCATATATATATATATATATATCATTCTTTCCACTCTTTCTCTTCACTTATCCTCTTTCTTTATATCACTACTCACCCTCTCTCTCTCTCTCTCTCTCTCTCTCTCTCTCTCTCTTTGTGTTCCTTTTAGCAATTTCAACCCTAGCGCAACTACAACGATGTTACTATCGAGCGTGGCCTTGTCAGTTGGCCCAATCATGAAGATTTGTAATGCTACATATCGGATCGGTGACAAGAATACAGAGCAAATAGAAGACAAAAGATCCGCTCCACCCGAGCAACCATACCTGACCCTGACCGGCCACTATAGATCCAAACCGACACTGGCAGTAAGTTAATTGATATACTACTTTTAATCGAAGGATCATGTCCTCATACAGAAAAGGACATTTGTTCAAGAGATTAGAGGTTACAATTTGATTTTAGATACAAACTCTTGAAGAGATTCTTACATTGTAATACCAAATTTATACAACGTAACCAGTTGGAACTTTTGGAAAATTATACCACAACTTTTGTTGATATTTGACATTAAAGTCGGACTAATTAAACTCAATCAGACAAAGTTGTGTTTAAAATATCTTATACAATAATATGTGGTTGTACCTGGATTGTCCACATATAATTTTTGACAGCTACCCTGTCACCAATACTAAAGCAAAGGAACCTGGAAAAAATAATTAAGTTTAAATATTAAATAAGTAATAAGGCTGTAGCAAGTTCTGGTGGCGGCGGAAGTAAAAAATGACCAGTTGTTATAAATTATTGGGAGATTCAAACAGTTCGTATTAAATATTTGTATCTCATTTGATTAATTCAAAATGTGTATTTTTTTCAGGTGTGTCTACTGCTACCTCTGTGTTTAGAATAACCTGATTTGCAATTTCTTGTATTTGGGGGATAATCTATTAAATTTAATCCTTTTTTTAAACAAGTGTTGGGTATATATTCTAGCCTATGTAATTAAGTTTATTTTCTTTATATTTGATGACTTTTCTTATTAAGTATCTCAAGGATGAAGAAGATACTTGAAGCGGCAGAAGTCGGGTTCTACAGGAGAATACTGAGGATACTATGGGCCGAATATGTGAGCAATGACGAAGATTTATAGAAAATGGAAACAAGAATAAAACTTATATATAAAATAAGGAAGAGACAGTTCAAATTTCTAAAGCATATAATGAGCTAATACTCACGCGGAAGATTGAAGGCCTGAAGGACAAAGTAAAACTGGATAACTTAATAAGCTTTAGTATGGAGGGCGAAAGAACATTTAGAAGAAATAATAAAAATACAACATTTATTAAGAGCTACAAAGGACAGAGAAATTTTGAAGAGCCACAATCGTTTACGTCTTGAAGGAACACGGCACATAGAAGACATTGTGATAATAGAAAATCTACCAAGAAAGGTGAAATATTGCAAGAAGCTTGTCGTAAATTTACTGTGGATTTTCTAGTGATTACTAACATCAAAAACTAATATAAAATAATACGAGCAGTTTTTAATGTTGATACTGAAATGATCTGGTATAATAGCTTCTATTGACCTTATGGTGGGATATTACGTTTCAATAATGCATATGGCATCAATTAATGTAGATTTCTAATACACGCAACCTATTATGTAATACGAATGCCTTAATGTTTGAGACTAATCCAGAAAAATATTTTATTCTGGTTGAAAAGTTAATAACAAGGCAAGTTTATCCTTCTTTTTCATGAAGAAAAAAAACATGGTTTACAAGAGAGCATCTCATACGAAGCACTCTCCATTGCTCTAAAAGTCGTGAGTGCTACATTAAAATTTCTTGAAACGGATTAATTTCTGAATACCCTACCCCTATCATAGGCAAGATTATTGATCCGCGTATCATCTTGTGTGATATTCGCCTTCGTTTTAGAGGCAAATAAATACAAACTATTCGTGAACAAAGTATTTAATTTACCTTCCTGTTTGTAAGTATCATAGTTTGTGATTAATTTTAAAAAATCACAATAAAACAATAACAGTTACGACAACAATAATAAAAACATGCAGAAAAACTACACCATTAAATGTAACTATAGAAAGAAAGAAAATTGCCCACTTAATATTAAATGTTTAATCAGCAACATAATATAAAAGCTATCGAAACTAATAACAGTAACAAAGACGTAAAATATTAAATAGGCGCCAGTGAAAAAAAAAACTTTTGAAGAAAGATATTATAACTACAAAATTCTAAAGATAAAATACATAAATAATACAACCCTACAAAAATAGATATCGAGGCAAAAAGAAAAAAAATATCCTCACCAAAATCAAATGGTCAAATTAAAAAGAGAGCAGCTCCGTACAGCACTACCAGTAAAAATTGTAAATTATGCTTGGGGGAAAATAGCAATAATTAGTTTTAAAACCAAAATAAATTCTCAAACAAGAAAACTGAAATATTGGGTAAATGTAAACATATAAATGAATACTTACTTTCCATCTAAGCAATAATAAAAATAAATAAGTAAATATAAATATAATATAAGCATTAAATAAATAAATGAAATAAATATAATATAAACTTTATTAATAAATACATAAAGAACAAATATTAAACATACGCACGTATTCGCGTCTTTGCATGTACGTATATATATATATATATATATATATATATATATATATAGACACGAACACCAAAAAATGAACAAACCTAAGCCCCCATAATTAAAATCACTATATATAACACCAAAACATACACAAATATACTACTAACCATTAAAAAAGAAACATTAAATAAATGACAGCATATGACATAAACAAACACATACTTTAATACATATATACTATTCAACAATTAGATCTATGTGTCTGTGTCCAGCATGCGCGCATACGTGCGTGAGTCTGCGCGTGTGTAATACACACACACATATATATATATATATATATATATATATATATATATATATATATATATATATATAACAAAAAACAGACCACTTTAAGTTTCCATGTAATAAATTATTTCGCCACAGTCCTTTTAAATGGCTCTGGATCATCAGACTTTACTTCCAAAGGTTGAATTTTTTTTTTTTTTTCATTTCAACCTTTGGAAGTAAAAGTCTGATGATCAAGAACCATTTAAAAGCGCCATCAGTGGTGAAATAATTCATTACATGGAACCTAAAGTGGTCTGTTTTATTCAAATTTATTTGCTCTGAATTTACATTGAGCTCTCTGGATATCATCCTCCTTGGGTCTACCCATACGGATTATCTAGTTTTGCATAATATATATATATATATATATATATATATATATATATATATATATATATATATATATATATATAGATATGATAGATAGATAGATATTGATAGGAATTTTAGGAGGAGATAATCATAATTAATTCATCGGGGACTGACAGGTACGCATATGAAACTCTGGAGTCGGAATGCTAAAGATAACATCTATCAGTTAAGTGACAAAATTATACTTATCATAATCTTATATATATATATATATATATATATATATATATGCGTGTGTGTGTGTGTGCATTAAAGTTGTCTAAAATCTACTCTTATGCTTCTAACCTTCACACCTAAAACATTTATTTACTGTTTATTTACTATTTATCCTCTATAGGATTAGATAGGTTCGCCCATCGTCCTGTTCATAAACCTCCCCGGGCTTTTGACGAGGTTTATTCCTTGTTTCCTTTTTAGGATTGGGTTTCTTGTTCCATCTCTTTCACTTCCTGTTGGCCACCTTTGCGTTTCGAGGATTTATCACCTTACTTGGGGTAGTGCCTTTTACTCTGAAACCCTCTACCTCGATTGGCCCTTGGGTCTTATGCAAAGGTGAACATCATTATATATATATATATATATATATATATATATATATATATATATATATATATATATATATAGGAAGAGGCGACCACCGTTTATCCCCACGTCTTACCGCTTGGTTACCGAAACCTTATCGATTACTGCTGTTGGACGCTAAAGATTTCTCGAATATTCAGACCGGCAAATGAAAATAAATATACTGTTTAATAAATAAATGGAACGCGCATACAAATACAGTATGTACTCAAAATAATATTTAAAGACATATATACATATATATATTTATATATATATATATATATATATATATATATATATATATATATATATATATTATTATTATTATTATTATTATTATTACCACCCCTCTTTTACTGTTATGGTAGTAGTGAGAGGCACAGTAACATAAAAATTACGAATTCTTGTATTAATGGTCCTTTCCTGATTGATCAAACACTGCCAAGCTAAATGGAATCAATTAACGAAAAAAACACGTTAGGTGACAAACAAAAGAAGCCAAGGATATATGGATAACAAGTATCAATTTTATTACTAAAATATACAAATGGGGATTAAATATTTTTGGATATATTAAAAGATGAAAGATGGGGCAAAACAGTGAGACAAAAATAAATATGACAATGAGGGAACTTATCTTTTCAGAAAAGTAAATAATATATAGACAAACGACCTTGTGCCAAACTTGCAAGAAATTACAAATGGCAAAAAGTCAAAATGCGGAAAAATAAAACAGGCAATAGAAACAAAGTAATTATCTGTTATTTGAAAATGTATTTCTTTTTCTTTTTCTCTTCCTTTTCTTTTAGTGTCTGTTATGTTTCTCTTTTCTTTTATATTTCTTTTTATCTAATATCTTTTCTCTTTTTGCTTCTATTTACTGCGTATTAAGTTTATCTGTGAAATGGATTTCTTTTTGGCTTCCTTTCTTTTTCTTTTTTGTCCTGTACAGGGTTTGAATAAAGTATAAGTTGAATCTTTCTTTTCCTTGGTTCTCAGGATAATATATCTTTCTTTGTATCGTTGTATCTGCTTCTGCGCGCAGGAGTTTGATTTCTTTGAATCAACACTTTACTGAATTTTTTCAGCTCAGAAACCTTAATAGATTTCTATCAATTACGCATATCCAAATGTCTAGCAGATCATAGCAAGTTTACCTGGACATACATTAAGTTTGAATTCTGAGTTGATGGCGGTCTTTATTTTCGCGCCTCAATTTTGGCACGTGACCCATGGCTTTCAAGTATCTATTTTTACATGTATGGGCGAAAAGAATCCACTGACCCTTTTCCTTTTTCTGTCGTATCTCAGAGAGTTCAAGGTTGCTTTAATGTCAGAATATTATCCCGT